CCCTACTGCCCACATAGCAGAACTTTTCCTCGTCAGAGTTATAAGCTGCTGTTTCTCTCTCCCGAACTGCTGCTGCCTCAAATGAACAAAGTTCCCAAGCAGCTGTGGCGTTACCGTAGGCTCACCCCCTAGCATCAGCTCCCTCTGGGTGTTTTCTACCGCAATAGGCAACAGGACTGGAGCTGAGAGCTCCAGCCTGAGATGCTCACTAAGACTCGTTATCAAGGACTGATGATTCAGAATTTCTTTCTTCTCTGTAATGAAGTTAAATCTCCCATCATTTCCTACATTTATACCCTGCTAATCCTTTTAAAATGGTTAAAGATTGGATATGGAAAAGATTGTAAACCTGCTTTTTTCTTCTTTTTCTTATTGCTGCAGGTGTTGTCGCTCAGAAAGTGCGAGTGGAGCAAGAGTTGGAGGCATATCCCACAGAGTCTGTTGATCTGCGCTGCGAATTCATCGAAGGAGGAAGTGTAACCAAGCTCACACAGGTTGGCACACACAAAAAAAAAAAAAATCTGTATTTGAAGCAGCTATAGAAGCTCAGAGTTTGATACCAAGTGACTTTCTGAAAGGAGGAAGAAGGGAGGAGTGGATTATTTTGGGTCTAAGATTCCTCCATCTCCCAAAAAACTTTCAAAGGATCAGCAGTAAACATGGCATTCTGAAAAGATATCGACTTTCTTTGAAAAAAGGTTTCTTTTATGGTGGTAAAGAGCAGGATTTTTTTTTTTTTTTTTGTAAACTTGAGCGGCCTCCACAGCAGAATAAAAGCCGACTCTAAGAGCCTGCTCCATCAGCAGATGAAAGAAAAAGTGAAACGCACCAGTAGATGACTGGAGAAATATGCTGGCGAATTCCTCTCTGCACCACATGATGTCAAAGGGGCAACATTAAAACAAAAACATGTTTCAGTCAAATTTTAGCTTAGCTGTAAGCATTTTGACAATTAAAAAAACACTTTTACAATTCTTTTGATAGCCTTTAGCTTTTGCATAATCATAGTAAACAAACTTTAGATCCAGCTGGATAATTAATTGGAGCATCAAGCTGGACGTACCTGAGATCTGTTCATTGATGGATTTAAAAGATATCCACAGATATTCTTTTGTGAAATGCTGCAATCATTCTGGGATAACAATGGTTTGTTTTTTATTTTTTAACTCAACAAAGGGAATCTGAAAAAAGGAAAAATACACCATATGGACAAGCTTAGTACCTTAACTGTGTTTTATCCCACTTTTAATGCCAAATCATCTCTAAGGTTGTAGATATCTTACCACTCTTCCATTTATGTAGTGGTCCGACACTGTTGTTGGACAGTACCGCCTGGTTTCCTGTCTTTGCTTTTATTCATCCTTTCTGTGGTTGATGTCAAGACTAATTGATATGTGCAGCTGTACAGAGACATGTGGATAAAAACATGTCAACCAAATGTCTAAATAGATTGTTGACCAAATCAGATAATCCAACTTAATTCATTTATTTTATAAATTGACAAGTTAAACCATTGTAAATTAATTAGGTTCAATCAAAGGTGTAAAAAGTATTAATGTTTTTACTCAAATAGAGGTAAAAATCCCACAATTTAAAAACACTTTTGTAGAAGTTATAGTATCAACTTAAGCTTTTTACTCAAGGAAAAGTGTAAAAATACCATTTCTAAAACTACTTAAAGTGAAAAAGTTAAAGTAATGCAAGAAAAAAAGTTAAAGACAGAAGCTTTACTGCACTACCCTATTAAAGGAAAAATTTTCTACGATTCTGGATGATGATTTCCTTATACTGTCTTAGTTTTAGGGGTGTAAATCACATCCATCATGGCGATTCGATTCAGTATCGATTTCCTGACCCAAC